GACATGTGGCATTCTTTAATTGGCTTTTAAAATATACACGTGGCATTCTTTAATTGGCCAACAATATATATTAAATAATCAATTAATTAACTATTTGATTTAGGAATTAAAATTTGATTAATTTCCCAAATAAAATAGAAAATTATTAAATTGATTTTGACATGGAATTTGACACTTTTCGCCATTTTATTGACTCAAAATTTAATTGTCTACACATGGAATAGAATATTCGATCAATAAAACATGTACATGTCGTTAGATTTGAATTGAGCAAATTTCGAATACTAAATATTATTTCTATTCGAACTCGAATTGAATTATCACATAAAAGAATTACGAATACTAAATTTTCGAAACCCTCTCCCAAAAAATCCCTTCGACGTGCTCCTCAAATATTCGGCTGCTTTGCCTTCCTCGGTGACGGTATAGTCTCGGCTAGGGGTCGTCAATGACCGTCCCGGCCTCCCTTGACGACGCGCGTCTCTGGTGCTCTATGGATGGGCCGCGATTGGGGCTCTGGCTCTCGGTTGCGGACAGAGATTCAAGTGGTGGCGTCCTTCTCGGTCAGTGATTGGTGGTGGAGTTCCTCCGTTACCGGCGATGCTCCGATTAGTGGTGGTAAGTCCCTTGATTCTCCCTTACTTGCGATTGTCGAGATGTATTTTTCCCAGCGAAGCTCCGTCTTTCAGGCGGGTTTGAACCTCTAGTCAGGGTGTCTATGAAGGTGTCGGGCGGTTCGCGGGTCTATGGGTGGACGGGACTTCGGTGGCTGTAGCGTGAAGGTTGTGGTGGTCGGGGTGAGAGTTGTTTCTCTCTTACAATCCCCCGTTTGACTAGTGGTGTTAGACAGCGGGGGCAGCTCTATCGACCTCGTCTAGTGGTGTTATAAGTGTTCGGGTGGAATCGGTGTGGGGTTGACCATTGCTCTCACGGATATCGATGGGTCCATTCGGGGACTGGTTCGGGGTTAGGTTTTTTCTACTGTATAGGCTTGATTGCAGTTTCGGTAGCAGGTTCTTGGCCTGCATTTGTCTTGTGTCGATCATTCACTGCTGGTTCAGGCTAGTTCGTTTGCTATGGAAGGGCTGTTAGATTATTTTAGTTTATTTGTGTTCTTTTAGTGTTTTCGTATTTGTGTTTGTGTTTGTCCTTGTGTTTTAGGTTTGGGTTGTTGGTCTCGGTTAGCCCGAATGTCACCTTATTATCCTGTTAGAATTCGACACTCGAGTATTACCCTTTTGGGGTCTTTTTAGTTTAGTAGTTTTTTTGTGTGTTAGTTAGTATTACCCTGTTGGGGTCGGGTCTAGGCGGTCCTTTGACTGTCCTCCCACTTTATTCAGTTGTTGGTTGTTTGTATTCAGTTGATGGCTACTCTTTTGTACATTTGTTCGGTTATATATATATAATATCTCATCATTTCGAAAAAAAAAAAAATCTCGAGATTATTTTACACCTCTAATCCAATCTTGTGTGAGTAGGTAGCTACACTCTGTTTGTCAGTAATGTTCCTTTACCCACAGTGGGCACATGTTAATATGTCCACCACTTATGTGGCATGCACACATTGGTGATGTATTTTTTTGAACATATTAACATCACCAATGCGTGCATGACACATAAGCGGTAGTCATATTAACATGTGTCCACAGTGGGTATGAGTGCATTAGTGCTCTGTTTGTTAGTGATATTTTTGGTCTACACATATATTTAATAATAATATTATTTTTGTTATCCTTCTTAGCAACTAATTATAAGACGTTGAAAATGCATAAAGGACTGCATTATTGTTCTTATTTAAACTTTTTGATCTGTGACAGCATGTGAAAGCTTAGCCACCCACAATTCGTGGGCCTATAGCTGTCGCATGCAATGTAAG